GGGGGGGGGGGGGGGGGGGGGGGGGGGGGGGGGGGGGGGGGGGGGGGGGGGGGGGGGGGGGGGGGGGGGCTACACGGTGACCGGGGTACTCCAGTGTACACGAAACAAGCGGCATGTTTACTGGTTTTCCGGTCAGTCGCTGCGGGCATCGCGGCCATATAGGGCAAAAGCAAAGTCGTCGTAAGAGATTCCACAAGCATGTGTGGGCCAGTCCGTTTGTTGAAAAATGGGCCGACCCGAAGACAACATTGGCAGAAAACGGACTCTAGTGCAATACACGCACACACCATAATGGCTGAATAGTTGCAAGCAGGAACCGCTGCACGATTCGCTGTGGAATCAATCGCTGTGCCATCCCGAACGTGCCCACGAAACAGTACAGAAAACTAAACCCTTTCCTTACGGGGTACCGTACCGTTTCTCGCAAACGTTAACCGCAACACCACGGAACACAGGTACCGCTTCGCGCTGCAGGACGTCCGCACGGTGTTGACGATGCCGCCGGAGAAAGTGGGCTCCGCAAACCTTTCCCTGGCCAACGGGATGCAGCACCGCCTTAACAGGGTAGTCCAGCAGCTCAAGAACGCCAGCTGAGGCTAGAGCTGGTCTTTGGTTTGTGAGCGCTCTGGCAGGGGGTGGAGAGAGGAAGGAGGCCTGACTTGACTTGCGGGGTCAGCCCACCTGAGGCGATCCCCCGCGCGTTTCATTGCTTTTAGGTGACAGTGTGTGCAGGATGACCGGCGAGCATAGATGCGGTCACGTACGTCCTAGCGGACCAAGAGGAACAACTTTCGCGGTATTTCCCACGCTGCTGCTGAATTTCACGTTCTCGGGTGTGTGTCGTCGAGTTTTGCTGCATGGCGGGGCGCCCGCCAGCATGGAAGTGTGGCACGATTTTCATTAGGCGCCATCACCCCGGTTGAGAGCGCCTCGAAACCGTCCTTCGTCTCCTAAAGGAAATAACGGGGGCAAAAAGTAGAAACCTGTGCATGCCAAGTGGCTGGACATCACTGTTGGCGCGGCAGGTACGGGGCTGAATCCCGTGTGCCTGGGGGGTGGATGCCTGGTTTGATCTTTCACGTCGCGCGCAATCTACACCGGTTTTGCTCTTGAAAAGGTATCATTGTTTGGTTTCGTGTGTGGGGATGCAACAGAAAGGGGGGAAGGACGGGTACAATTTTGTCCGGTTCGTCGAAGGCGCTCGTTGCGGCCGGTTTGCTTTTGCACGTGTGAAAAGGATGCCACGAAATGTTGCTCGGTCATATGTTGGCCGCGCTTCTGCATCGCTCAGCAGCGGCGGCAGCGGCGGGGTGCCGCGGTGATTCTTTCGACAAGACTTGTGGGGGGGGGTACGGAAATCGGCAACCCAGTCTGCGACTTTGAACTCTCGGCTAAAATTTTGTAAACTATCATGGAGTGTGTCTCTGTTCTGTACTCCCGTGTGTTGTCGCAACACATGCCCGCACACGCGTAATCTTCGAGCTGTTTGGTTTCCTACGCGTTGTTGCCCTGCAGCTTCTCTCTCTCGACTGGTGTGTAGTTGTGTATGTGTCCCCTTGCGACGACAGCCTGAACACGTGCAGAAGGAAATGGGACCTTAGGCAGACGCACGATAACAGCATGAAGATGACTTGTGCACAGGCGGTGGTTGTTGTGGGCTTTTTTTTTTTCATGTTTGTCTGGCGGCGTCCTGTGTCAGAGGCGAGCGCTTTCCAGGGGTTCTTGACCGGGACAACAAGTGTCTGTACAGGAACAAGGAGCTGACCTCGCTTCTTGCGCGTCTCCGAAACGGTCCACTCAAAAGGATCATCTCGTCCCGCGGGACATTGGTCCGTCTTGTTGAGTGATGGTGAGGGTTTGTAGGGCGGTTTCGGGGGGCAAGCCACCGTATTTAAGTGCGCACATCTCCACGCGTGTTCTGCGTTTTCTGTCGGCGAAAACCAGCCTCGGTCAAAGGCGAGGTGAAGCTGTGGCGTTTGACAAGCGTGCTGAGACCGGGGACAGGGAAAAAAACGCGTTCCTGTCGTTCTTTTCCTTGTCGAGGAGATGACCGTGGTATGCAGGGCAACAGGACCCTTAGACCACTACTGCTGTCAATACCGCGCCACCCTTGGCCGCAGGCATGTTGTGCCCTCTTCTCTTTGGGCTGACACCCCCCCCGCGCCGGAAGAACCAGATCATGCGCGATTTGCATGACCTCTCAGAACGTAGCCAACCCCCGGAGCTTTCGTGAACATCGTCTCGACATGCCCCAACCTACTCGAGAGGTTTATGAACCTGGCCCCCTTGAAACTGAAGCACCTAACCAGTATCTACATCGTTGGCTTTACTTCGTCCCTCAAGGAAACCTACCTGAGCATTCGGCCACCACAAGTCCATATCCCTAACTCGTAGTATATTGTCGAGACCTCGCCACTGTAGTGTCACCTTTGTATCCAGACCTACTCCTTTCGAGGCAAACACCATTCGTGCACATCCATCCATTACTAGTCTAGCCCTCTTCAACTCCGTCTCTAGTCTATACATTGTGAAGCACGGCGAGGCCATGTTGGTACGCACCGAGATGTAAAAGTGCTGCCACATACAGCAGTGCTTCCCCGTATCCCAAGGCAAAAACACCCTCTTCTTTTCGCAACATGTTTTCATCTATACAACCTTGGCTATGTATGCACGAATCTACTGCTGTGATCTACGACCACAACATCCTTTAAGGTTGCACTTCACTTTGGGGAACCTGCTTCAAAATCAGGCCAAGTTGGAGAGAGGTTGTCGTAAAGCCAGCCCCCCCGGCTCGGTTGACTTGATAGACACAACTTACTGGCACATCAAAGCTAGCGACAACAAGCGGCCCCGAACTGGTCTATCCCGAGTCAGTGGCGTACACGTCGTCAGTAAACCAAAATCGACTTCGTAAGTCGCGAGGGAAGGGATTGCTGTACCCTTCTCGCGATAAAATTACCTCAGGCAGGAACCGCAGGAGGGGGTCCAGCCCCCCCCTCCTATGTGACCCCCGTTGGGTCGTCTAGCTAGTAGAAGTGGAGGATAGGGGCCAGAGGGGCAGACGACAGAGTCCAATGATGGCAGAACAAAAAAAACAAAAAAAAAAACATCGTCCACAAGGTAATGCCGTCTGGCATACGTGTGGAGTGCGAAAGAGCATACACCGCATGGAGGTCAGACGGGATTCTATTGTGGACAACAGCGACGTGGTGTCCACACACAGTCGGCCACGGAAGCAAAGCAGCAACCTCTCTTGTCTAAGCGCGACACTTTTCTCTAAGCCCTCCCACTTTTGGAGGGAACCAGTCCCAAGAGCAAGATGGGGTTGTCAGGGTGGCAAGAGCAAGTTTCCGACGCTATCACTGAGGGTATCGAGGAAAGCGATCACGGAGTCCTCCTCTTGCTGTGGGGCACAAGCGAACGAAAAAACAACACATACATACGCGCGTGCGTGTGTCAGGGCGGCGGGGTAAGGTGATGGCGTTTCATGCATTGCGTGGGCTAGGGCGTGGCGGTGTCGGTTGCGTATGTGGAGCAACACCTCTCGAGCTTGCACATCGCCGAGCACCTTTCGAACCTGCTCACGGCCGACATTTAGCTACATGGATTTCAGAGAACGCCCAGCGCCCCCTCTCGCCGAAACCGCCTGCTACTTGGCAACCCAAGCCCAACCTGTGGTGCAATCGGGCCGCTCTTCCTGAAACTGGGTTATTAACGGGTAAATAGGGGTAAAAGTCGGGGACCGAACAGGGCTGGTGTGAAATGAGTGCAATTTCGCGTACTATTTGGAAGAGATGACTGTAGGTGAAGAAGGGTGGGAAATATTTGAAACGGTATCACAACTATCGGAGGATTACGAGGTGGATCGATATATATATATATATCGGTGTATAAGTTTGAGGGGATTGGACAGATCTTTGAGAGAACTGGACAGAATCTTAGATTCGTCGGAACAAAAGTATGGACTGTCAGCAGAGTTGAAGCTGATAGCAGGATTTTGGGAACTTGTGAACACGTGTACATATGAAACGGCACGCACACGAGGTCAGTCTTGACCTCGTCCAGGAGTATTCCCTCTGTCTTGATGCAGCCGTCGACCGTTAATGGCAACTTTTTGATTGCAGATCGACAGGACTTAACCCTCCCACAACAATACCCTTGGCATCAACACAACTCGTGAAGGGAGAGTCAGCGCACCCTGAACCCCCGACAAACCCACCGACTACCTTGGGTGAAGGAATTGCAAGCAGCATAGCTCACCTTGAGGTAGGCCTTCCATTCCTTCTCCGTCAGCAGGCCGTCGTTGTCGGCGTCGTGCTGCCAACGTCCCCGCAAACAGCAATGGAACAGGGTACAACATCACAAAGTAGAGGAAGTGACGTCAGAGGAAGGTGTTAGGGGGAGGGGGAGGCTCTGCAACGTCCAAGTTGGTAGAGATTAGGTATGTCACTTGCGCGCCCGTCCGCTGCTGCGGGTTGCTGCCTCTGAGGCCACAACAACGTATCTTCGGTTTCTTTTTGAAGGCATGACGTCACAATGACTTGCACAAGATAAGTCTAGTTTCGGGCGTGCCAATATTTCTCGTTCCCGCTCGAGTTGATACAAAACACAAGGTCTCGAACAACAGAAAAATAGTCAGTTGTTTGCCGAATCCGCTATTCAAGGGCATGGCAACGTGCGAGCTTCCCTACCACAAAAGACAATAGCACCAGTGTCGATGAGCGTCGCCTCATAGTAGGAAGACGCCTGATTTCTGGTGCATCCAAACAAATAACAGATCGTCCCAATGATGACAGTACGGTGCGGTTAAGTGTTTTTTCTCTCCCCGCATCTCTTTTTCTTTGCTTGAACATGTTTCTTCTCGCCATCCAATCAAATAGAGACCGGCCAAAACTACAGGACCGATCGAAACTGCGCCTGCCAAACGCACGCGATTTCAACAAGCGTCGACTGCAATACTGTACCGAAAAAACAGCGTGCTGCAGACGACCCACAACAGAACTTACAAAAAATCAAGCTAGCCACGTGAAGATTCAAGCAACTCCACCCATGCTCCCTTAAGTTGCTTCGAGTCTGTGGATAGCACTCCGTCAAATCGACTTCAAAGACACGGGTCCTGCTATGACGCTCCAACAACGGTCTCATCATTTAGCCCGTCAACAAGCCGCCAAATGTTGAAACCAATTGCCCGACCGATCCACGGCCTGGATACCCGGCCGCCAGACCAGACCAGTCTACAAACCAAACAACGCAACATACGGAGTAAAAATCGATCCGTGGGATAACGGTGCGTGTCACCTCGGTGAGTACTACGTCAGCCATCTTGGCTAGGATGCCCCCCAGCTCTTTCTCGAAGTCCGGTTGCTGCTGCTGCCGCTGCTGCTGCTGCTGCTGTAGATCCCGAGCAGACGACGAACGCGGCGACTCGCTGCTGCTGCTGCCGCCGCCTCCTCCAGTGACAGCAAGCGCCGGCGGCGTGAGTAACGGCGGAGACGCAGCGATAACGTCCAGGATCAGCGCTTTCAGCCCTTCCCTACCGACGAGCCCGCCTCTGCTAGCGTCTCCGTACATCCTGAAGAGGACTTTTTTCGGTGCGCAGCAGTTTCGAGATTTTCATTGGCCAGCGTCCCGTCGCATCAAAAGCGCGGGAGAGAGTGGCGTGAGTTCCGCGATTCGTCACACAAAGAGGTTGTACATTCTTTCCTTTGTGGCTCGGAGATCCTTGTCCATACATTCGACTCAGCTTGGACAATAGATACTCGCACGCTGGATCGCGCGCTCCCTTGATTCTCAAGTACGGGGGGTTCGCTCCATACACTCTCAGCCAATCGACCGCTTCGACGAAAACACAACAGTGAAATCAGATGTTCGTGGCCGCAGCAAGAGCATGCCTCACTCGAGTACACAAGTAGCTTACGTTCGAGCTTGGTCTGGTGTGGAGAGCCCTTGAGAAGACATGCCGCGCTGGCGAACTCCTGCTGATGTGCGGTTTGGCAGCATGGTTCGGCACGCAGGTTAGCTACAGCGGGTTTAAACAGGACACGGTGCATTATTGGTACGCAGACGGGGCGACATAAACAGAAAGGGAGAAGACCGGAATAGAGTGACGGCGGGGGGCGCAGTTCGTTATCAGTGCGCGATGAGGTTTATATGCAAGCAAACGTCAATAAGCACTGAACTTGAAGGGATCTCCCCACCATCATGGTGTAGACAAGGTCTACACACCTCCTTGTGTGCGCTGTCAACACGTCCTTCTTCAGCTTCCTGGCACTCACTGCTGACGTGGGAACTGTGAATCTATTGCTCTGTTTCACACGGCAAAGCGATCGATTCATGTTATATCCTAAAACCGACCGCTACCTTGCGTTCAACGCTTACCAAATGCTCTGCCTGAAATCATTGTTTTATGTTTGCGCGGATGACGTGTATCAAACGTGCTGATCTGCCCGTCTCTACCTCTGGTCTGCCGCTCTCTGTCTCTGTCTCTGTATCTGTCTCTCTCTGTCTCTCTGTCTCTCTGTCTCGCTGTCTCTCTGTCTCTCTGTCTCTCTGTCTGTCTCTCTGTCTGTCTGTCTCTCTCTCTCCTCTCCCCCTACTCGCCACCCCTTCGCGTCGTACCACCTCACTATTTCCCGCGATGGCAGGAAGTCGGTACTACGGCAACAACAAGGCCCGACGGCCGTCGCACAACAGCAGTACCTCGAAGCTTAACCTGCCGTCCCCGTTGGCGTCCAGCACGCCGTACAGCCTCTTCGCCACCTCCGCACCCCTCGGCCCCGGCAAATACCACCAGTCGTCGAAAAAGACGAAGCACTCCTCCTCTTCCTTCTCCTGCTGCTGCTGCTGTTGCCGGACGTGGCACTCCGAAGCTGTTGTCGCCACTGCCGCGCCTCGTGGCGGTTGTTGTGGTGCTTCCGATGCCGGGATCCCCGCGAGGTCCTCGAACCTCTCGCGCAAGGCAGGGAGCAGGTCGTCGAGGTCTTTCGCCGCCCGCGGCGCATTCACAGAGCTGTCCTTCTGGGACGCCGAGGTGTTTCCCATGGGGTTCTTACACGGCCCTGCTGCTGTTTATCGTCGTGGTTAGCCTGTACGGATTGCAGTGGACGGCGGATGACGCAAGATGCATTATTATGTCCCGACCAGACTTGCACCAGAGTAGGGGAGACTTCTTTCCAAGGACCAGCGTAGCATCGCATCTCTCGTTCTTACGGCACATTCGCCTTGCACAACCATCTTAACTTTATGTAACGATCTTGATTTGTGGGTTTTCCTATCTCCCACGACGTGGGCGGTAAGGAACGCTATCTTGTGCGCAGTAACAAACATAAACAAAGGTGAGACCCATGTTTATGGTCGCCAAATCTTTGCGAAAATGTCGAAATTTTCAAATTTTCAAACATTTGCGGGACAAGATTTTATTTCACTTTTCATGAGAGAAAATCATTGGCAAAATCTTCCCAAAGATTCTAAAATGGGGCAAAAGTCGCTCGTTCGACAAAATATTCGACAAACATTTTGACATGGGGCAGGTCGCGAAAATCTTGTCCAAGAGCAGCGAGATTAGTAGCCGACCGCCCCTTCCGTCCTAAACACCAACCACTGCGCGCATACTCAACGTAGCAAGCTCATAGAGGGATTCGGACAACCCTAGAGTCACCGTGTCAACGTTTTGCCGGCTGATACATGGCGGGAGCTCGTCAAGCGTGCACAAAAAAAACAAACAGACAGGGGTGGTTTGGAGGGCACGGAGAAAACGTGGTTGTGCCCCCGAACGGCAAAAAGTCGGCGGCTTGAGAGGAGACGTGAGTACAAAACTATCCAGCTCTCGTCCTCTAGACCATCGATTCATGTTTTGTCTTCTTGGGTGTCTTCTCCATCAACGGTTCTCATCCGGGTGTGCGTGGTTTAGCAGTGGACGTACTCAACAGGCAGGGAGGCGCGTCGCTGCGAACTCGATGTGTTGAAAAAGTCTTTCGGGGGCGGAGGAACAAGCCCTCTGTAATCAAGTGAAAAAATAGACCGGAAAAAACGCTGTGTCCACAACTTTGTGCGCACAACGACGTGCCTTCCTGCCGACTGGGCACGGCCATTGCCAACCCGCGAGCAATCGGATGAGAGTCGTTGATGGAGAAGACACCCAAGAAGATAAAACATGAATCGATGGTCTCCCGGGCGAGAGCTGGATAGTTTGTACTCACGTCTCCTCTCAAGCGGCCGACTTTTTGCCGTTGGGAAGCACTGATGCACGTTTCGATCTATTTTTGACACAGGGAACATTGTTTCTAGCACGCCCGGAGCGCTATCGCCACATATTGGCGGGCATAACATCAGCTCAGTGCATCAAGGGTTGTCGGGAGCCCTTTGCGTTACAGTCAGTTTCCATGACGCACTTGTGGTTTGTCCGTCACAAATCGTTTGGTAGCAGTAGACCACGATTCCCGCCGCATTTCTGATCATTCCGAGAAAACCACACGACGAGATATTTTTGCCCATAAAAGTGATGCTCAAATGTTCCTCTGGCAGATATTCGCGCAAATGTTTGACAACATTTGTAGATAAATTTCCAATATTTTGAGATCACAAACATGGGTCTGACGCGCCGTTCAGTAATGACTTCACTTCCACCACTAGCTGGGTTTGTCGGCGGGCTTCCTCTCACGTATACAATGTGGCATATCTTCCCCGATCGAAACAGAAACAGCAAACAACAAGTCTTCCGACGATACGCTATTGTTTACGTTGGTCTGTCATCCACAGGCACGGGCTTAAGGATACTTCGAGAACCAGCTCCACGCACCACCGTTTTCGTTCCTGAGTTATTGTTGTCAATACAGCAGTACGAGCCACACATATTAATATTTCAACCTGCACATAATCTAACATAAAACATGGGTGTAAGACTTCAACCCGTTCGAGATAACACTCCAGTCAGAGAGATATGTTGGAGTCCTTACAGCGGTGAATGAGGGAAGAAACCTGCTGATACTGGGCTTCGTTGAGCCCGTTTATCCCTGAAGGATCAGTGTTCGCTCCGCAGACTTGTGCGTACCTCCGACGCCTCGGTAGGATGGCAGCAACTGCTGTGTCGATTTTTCGAAACAATGTACTACAGCACAAGCTCGTTTGTTCCGACAGCGTCTTGATCGTAGAGACAGGGTGTGAACGCCATCATCTCTAACACTCGTCACCTCGGTAACTCTGCTGCGCGCAGAACCCACGTCGCAAGGGCACACACCTGCTGCTTGTCCTCGTTTAGGTTGTTAGCAGGAGATGTGGTGGCACATTGACTTTGCTGTTGCTATTGCGGTTACGTTAATACCGCTGCCGTTGCTGTGGGAGCAGCCGGGTTCACGGTATGTCGTAGGGATGTTCTCTCCAAGCGTACCCAGGGGGGATAGTGACTTGCAGGGTGCGGAAACAGCAGTGTAACAAAGGACACGACGACGAGCACCTACAGCAGCTCCATGCAATGAAACCCTACATGTGAGAATGAAACACGGGGCCGCTGTTCTCGCAGAGATCCGAGATTCGAGATCCGCACTCCAGGTCCACACCACCACGCACGGCCGGATCCGCTGATTGAACGACGCACGAGACACAACTGAGAGGGAGAGAGAGATACATAACAAAGGAGAGGAACAGGTGCACGAGGGTACGATGCGTCCAGGAAGTCGGGGCTATGTCGGTGGAGGCCTACAGCCTCCTGGGACAGGGATGAGGATGGCAACAGGTATGTCCGAGGGAAGTTGCGCCGCGTCATCGCCAACGAGAGATCGGCGATCGGAGTGCCACGCCTTCAAGATCCTAGCTACATCGAGGAGGATGAGCACCTCAAGCTCCATCTAGACTTTCTTTTCGGGAACGCATCTGTTCAACTCATCTCCGACTTCCACCTCTCTTGCTCTCACCACCTCCTCCGTGGGTCTCCTCTCTGTATGCATTGGGGTGCGGGATCTCTTGTTGGATCCATTTTGCACCCACCCGAATCACAAAAAACTCACCGTCAACCACACACATGAACGCAGGGCAGCGCGGAGGGCGTCCCATGTCCGGCAGGATGAGGACAGGACAGGTCACGGCCGGGCCAAGTCGGGAAGCTGCCTACGGGGTTGCCTTGTCGCAGGAGGTCAAGGTTACAGACCGCCCGGTGACACAACAGGTACCGCCGAAAACGTTTTTCTCGGTGCTTTGGGGCGAGTAAAGCAAGCTCAGGAGTAGTAGATCTATATAGGAAAAATAGAAAGACTACTGTGGAGAACATCTTCATAAAGGTTGAAATTCCCCAACGTCTGTCGAGAACGAAACCCTCCTTTCCACAATGGCGTCGACGAATATATGTCATGTGTCTGCTTGTGGTTGCGAAAGACACGGGTTCCAAACCCGCTGCTCACCTAATTTTCTTCCGGAGTAAGGCTGTTTCTTATAGAGCCGGATTCTTGACCTGAAAAACCTCAAAATCCCGATATGGCCAAAATCGGGATTCTTATAGACCCGGATTCTTTAGTTTTTCGGGTCAACATTTTCCAGTTTCAGAAATCCGGTCGACTTTCACCCGGATTCTGATGCAGAATCCGGGTGAAAGCCCAACCGGATTTTCTCACCCGAAAAATTCAATTCAAACGCTGGTTACGCCGCCCGGCTCACACACACACGCACACACACAGCACAGCACAGCACAATACAGCGGCTACCGCAGATGCGTGTCGCAGTGCCGGCGCTCTTAGGGCTGCTGGGCGTCGCCCGCCTCGGCTGTGCACTTGTATTGCCCGCGGGACGTGTGGTTCACCGCCAAATGGCCGAGACAGCAACCGAAAGTGGTGGTATCGATGTGCCGGCTGCCTTCGCCACCACGGCGGTAGCTACTGCCTCCCTGCAGCAGCTGCAACGTAGCGTCGCCGTCTGGGACGTTATCATGGAAGACTTCGAAGACGATCTAGAGCTGGATACAGAGGACGATGAAGCGTCGAGGGAGGTGAAGAGGCGGCGTGTGTACGTTCGTAAAGACTACACGAAGTCGGGATGGTGGCAGGAGCTCATGGAGCTGCGAGAGACAGGCGAGACAGATCACACGACCCGGGAAGCGCGGCGTTTTCGCAACAACTTCCGCGTCCCCTACCCGTTTTTCGTGCACTTGGTGGAGCTGGTGAGGGACAGAGACTGGTTCCCAACCGGGGAGTCGGATGTCACGGGTCGCCAAGCCGTCCCTGTTGAGTTGAAGGTGAGCAAAGACGATGAAATGCTGCACTTCTCGAAAAATGGACCGCTGGCACCGGAGTGCCGGCGGCGGCACAGCATGCGTTTGAAAGGTGTACACCGATAAGGGCTGTGGCTGCGATCTGCTCTATATCCCTTGTCCGCCTCTACCCCAGTACATTGGGTGGTGCGCATGCATTCTTCGTTGTTCTGCACACTTCGTGCCTAGTCTTAAGTTCATTTAAAAGGTTGAGTCCCTCCCTTGTAGCCGGATGAAAAAAAACCTCATGTTTTGAAATGGTCCGCCGTCGCATAGAGCGCCGGCCGCACCACGGTCGGCGCTGGTTTCGAATACATAAGGTGTACAACGTAGAGGGTGGTTGCTGCTGTGCTGTACACCCCTTTTCTCCAGCATTCATCATCTACAGCGGCCGCGTGTGGTGCGCATGTATACTTCGTTCCTCTCCACACTTTCGTCTAAAGTTGGTTTAGAAGACCCGACCACAGCAGCAGTGGGAGTCCTCTCCCTTGTTGCCGGCGCTGGTCGGCAGTAGGGTGGTACAACATGTACAGCAGTCGAAAACAAAACAAAACGTTGGCAACCGCTAGGGCGAAGCCAGGGGTTGTTTTGCACGCGGGTCAGTTTACTGTCACCAGCCACCATGTGCTCACAAGCCAACAATGCAAACGTAGAGAGAAACACGCCGCGCGCAAGCCACAGCAGTGTCGTGGTCAAGCGTGTTAAACTCTCGAATGGTCAACTGCCGAGTGTGTGACAAACCAGCACAGCCCCGGGGTTGTTGTAGAGGTTGGAAAAAATCAATTGCGACCTACATGCTCCATGATAGAGGCCGGCCGATGGCGTACAGTTTTCAAAATGTTGAACGTTGAGGCAGCCACCAAGAAACAAAAAAACAAGCTAACACTCAGCGTAGCTGCTGCAGCTGCCCCTGTCGCGAGCGCAGGGGTGACTGCGGCGCGCGCGTACGCCACTCATATTTTCAATTTTCCGCAGGGGACCCGCGGCCTGAGTATATTTCCTGAGTTCAAAGCTAAGAACGCTGTTCCTCACGAAAAAGCAACGGATTTATCCGCGCGTTGTTGCTTTCCTCCGCCGCATACGCAGGTGCTGGCCTGTCTGCAGATACTCAGCAGAGGAAATGTGTTCGCAGATATCTACCACATGTCCTTCATCAGCTTTCAGACGGTGGCGTCCACCTTCCACCGCTTCTGCAAGTACTTCGCGGCGGAGCTGTACGACGAATATGTCTACCTGCCGACTGGGGAGGACCTGAGGAAAGTCATGGAGCAGTACGATCGCATAGGTTTCCCCGGAGCCGTCGGGTCCACGGACGTCACCCACATCTACTGGGGCATGTGCCCCTACAACCAAGCCCGCATTTATACGGGCAAAGAGGGGAAGCCTACCGTCGCTTTTCAAGTTACGGTGGACCATAGCGGGCGCGTTCTGGCGGTGACCCGAGGGTTTACGGGGGCGACGAACGACAAGACCATCATCCGCTACGACAAGGCGGTGACGCGCATCCGGACGGATCCTGTGTATACGGAGCAGAAGTACAAGCTGTACGCGCAGGATGGACAGCAGTTCGAGGAAAAGGGGTGCTATCTGCTGGTGGACAATGGGTACCACAAGGTGAATCTTCGACGAGGAGAGAGCCCCGAGTGTGTGTCGTGTGTGTGTGCGCGCTGTGTGTGTGTGCGTGTTGAGTGTGTGTCAATGCGTACCGCCGTCTCGTACGTGTACGTATCTAGTATCTACCATCTTTTTCCTATTTTCCTGGTAGTTGCCAGCGGCGCTTTTTGCATTTTTTTTTGTTCTTGGTAAGCGGCCGGAACAGTTTCTGCAACCTTCTGTGCGTCGCCGGGGAAAGAAAGAAACACTTGCCCAGACGGGTTCGTCTCCGGAAGTTCGATTTTTTGTGATGTTTGATTCCGCGACAGCAGTCAACTAGGCCCTCTGCGGCGCGGCGTTGGCAGATTGCGGCTTCTCTTGTAAAGAAAAATACCAACCACTTGACAACACCAATACAAGGAGAGAAAGGTCCGCGGTATTGGAGAAATCCTTGGCGTGAGAACACTATGAGGTCTTAACCGCGTGCTTAATTCTCTTCCCCTCTACCTCTGCCCGTTGCCCTCTTGCTCTCCCGCCCGCCCGCCCCCCCGCTCTTCCCCGCAAACTACCCCTTCCCTTCCGACAGTGGAGGACTCTCATTCCCCCTTCCAAGTGCCCGATCGACCGTGGCGACCTCATCTTCTCGAAGAGGCTCGAGAGCGCTCGCAAGGACGTCGAATGCTACTTCGGGATCCTCAAAGGGCGCTTTCGAATCAACAAGCTGGCCATCGGCTTTCACAAGCAGGAATACATCGACAACGTGTTCTTCACCTGCTGCATCCTCCACAACATGCTGCACAGCTTCGACAACCGGGGGGACATGAGCGAGGAGCCCAACTGGGCTGGGAGCGCCGGCCTGCACAACGCCGCGGATCGCGACCCCAACACGGACTACAGCTCGGTCGGGTCAATGGACGGTCAGCATGAGGCGGTCGAGGTGGAGACGGGCTTCGGGGCGCTGCGGTCTAAGTTGGTTACGAACTTCGTGTACCGCAGGGAAAAGAAGAGGGACATTGTGTGGCTGTCGTAGGGGAGGAAGGCGGTGCTGTTCTGGCCGTAGGTTTGACTCTAGGGTAACCATGTGCGAGCGTTGTGACGGTTATTTTTGCGGCAACAACGCGTTCGTGCACGTATATACAAGCTCACAGCCGGGAGATTGGTGGGGGTGGCGGGCAGCCAATTTCAGCAACACGTAGCATCGGCTGTGTGTACGGGCGCGGACTTTTTTTCGAAGTTTCACCAGAACACATAACTGAAACGTAGCGATACGCAGGGATTCACAGTTTCGAAGTAGGGATTCACAGTTTCGAAGTTTCATCAGAACAAAACACTGAAACGTGGCGATACGCAGGGATTCACAGTTTCGAAGTTTCATCAGAACCAAATACTGAAACGTAGCGATACGCAGGGATTCGCAGCCTGTGTCATGTGTACGTTGTCATCGGCGTGTACACGAAGCGGCCGCTCTTTCGAGTCCAAACCTGGACTTCGGGGTGGGGGTGGGGGGTGGGGGGTGGTGGGGGTGCATGAAGGGTCACGACCTGTCAATACGCGGCTCTGGTTAGTATGATGAGTATGTCGGGTGTGTTCGAAGTTTCATCAAAGCAATTTTAAACTGAAACTTCCGGTGCGCAGGGGCGTGATTGGATACATCTTTTTTCGCGTCTTTAAACACGAAGTTTGCTGTGTCGGTGTATGAGGTTTCAACTTAGCAAGGACCGAAGAAACGTCATGTGTGGGACCTCGGGGGCGAGCACCACGAACCGTTCTACTCTCTAATCTCTCTACATCACGAATAAACCTAGCGTTCACAGGCATCCACGCCCAGTCTGAAGGCGTGAAAGACGCACGTTGAGATCCCTCATTAGACGTGCTCAAATTTGGGATCCGTGTAGGCGCTACATACGTGCGCATCTCGGCCTCGCGCCGGCACAACAATGAAGCCGGAAAAAAATAAAAAAGTGTTTCAAGAAAATATCTGAATCTACAAACCATCCCGGAGAAAAAAAGTAGACCCCACCCAAACGGTGAGGCACCTACAATTGACCGCGTATCCGGACTAGCCAGCTTACCATAAGGAGCTCGGAAAGCCACACAAGAACACATTTGCATAGTCGTGCGCCCTCAAGCTTGACTCCCGAAGTCGAACATAAACTCTGCGCACGAACAACTTCAAAAGGAATGATTGTGAGAGCTAACTTGGCTCCGGCCAAATAAAGTTACATGTCCTACACGGCCGACGACGGACGGGTGATCCCTCCAAGCGCCAACTGAAACACACGACGAAAAAAACATCGAATCAGATACGCCCGCCAGGGATGTTTCCCCGCACGACAAAGCGGGCTTCTCGCGCTAAATTTTCTAAACAAGTTGTC